AGATAATGGACTTGTATCTGTGCTCGTCCTGTTGGATATTAGTGCTGCACTTGATACAGTTGACCATAATATTCTTTTAGAAAGACTTGAATATTTTGTTGGAATTAAAGGAACAGCAGTAGAATGGTTTAAATCTTATCTATCTGATCAATCGTTTGTTCACGTTAATGGCAGCTCTTCCTTATGCTCAAAGGTTAACTGTGGAGTACCACAGGTATCAGTGCTAAGGCCAATTCTCTTTACTTTATATATGCTCCCAATTGGTAGAATTATTAGACCACATGGGATTAATTTTCACTGTTATGCTGATGATACCCAGCTATATCTGTCTATAAATCCAGATGAAGCTAAGCCATTACAAAAATTACAGGCATGTTGTTAGAATAATTGTATATAAATGTATCTGTGTAGTGTTATAATGCATAAAGCTGTGTGCTATGTGTATGTGTTCATAGCCATCTTTTCTGAAGTATACTGTGATTTGTAGAATTGCTTTTGGTGAGGTTGTGGTTGATTTACGAGCAGCACTCGACCTGCTGAACTTTGGTGAACAACTTCAACAGCTTAAACTTTGACTGAACCCTGAGATTTAGAGGACATGTTTACTGAGACTGCAAGTCTGAGTTCCTTATCTTGTCCCCCCCCCCTCTCGTGAGCGTTTGAGATTAAAACAAGGATAAAGATCTATTTCTGATTTAGCCATCGATTTCCGTATTATGGCAGCTACCTCAGGCTGGGATAAAGTAGCCCTTAAGGGGGTTTTCACTCATGCCCTAAACGATTTGATCAAGGACAAGCTAGCCACCTTAAATGAACCAGACTCTCTCGAGAATTAATTAACCTCTCAATCCATTTGGATAATCGGATTCGAGCCCACGCTAAGCAAAGGAGTAGTAAAACGGCTCCTTCCAAACTTCAGCCTAACAGTTTCCCCACTGAGTTGCCTGCTAATTCATCCCCGCCTGAATCTATGCAGATTGGCAGCGTCCGCTTAAGCCCTGAGCAAAAGCACTACTGAATGCAGGCTAAGCTCTGTTTATACTGTGGAGAGGCGGGCCACTTTGTTGCCTCTTGTCCTCTTTTGGGAAAAGCCAGAGTCCACCAGTAGAGAGAGGGCTACTGGCGGAACAGAAGATTTCTCCCTCTTCACCTTGTCTACTCCTTCCTGCATCTCTGGTTTTGAACAATAAATCCGTCTCCTTATCGGCCCTGATAGATTCTGGCTGTGAACAGAATCTAATTGACTCTGCTTTTGCTCAACAGATGGGAATAGAGGTTATTCCTCTACAGAACCCCCTTCGTGTTTTTGCCTTGGATGGCAGAAATCTGCCTCAGATTACCCACCAGACTATTCCTTTACAACTAACCGTTTCTGGGAACCACATAGAAAACATCTCTTTCTTTGTTTTCCCTACATCTAACTCTGCATTAAACTTGGGTTTCGAATGGCTCCAGGGTCATAATCCCACAATAAATTGGACCAAAAGACATGTGGACTCATGGTTCCTTTATTGTCACTCACACTGTCTCAGATCTGCTGTCCCCACAGGCTTCCAAGTTCTGGATTCTTGTGAGATAGATCAGAATCAGAATCAGAAATACTTTAATAATCCCAGAGGGAAATTACTTTTGTTACACACTCTAGTTACAGTTTTACATGACATATACACACATCCAACTATACAATATAATAAGATAAAAAATAAGAATAAAAAGAGATCAAATATATATACACATATAGCTCTTCTGTACATATATCTGTATGTATATCTATGTACAGTGGGCGCTGGTTGGAAATGGACACTTCACTCACGCTCCGCGTGTTTCACATATTGTGTGAAAAACATGTGACTACTATAGCCACTAGGTGGCAGTCTGAGTCCATTTCGGCATCCCATCAGTCAGGAGTAGATAGGTCAATTAGCAAACTGGGATGGGCTTTACATGTTCCGGGCTGTTGGTGTAGAGGGTAGAGGGAGTGGTGTGTAGCTTTGAGGGTTCGATCCCAGCTATGGACGAATATTTTTCAAATTTTTTTTAAATCACTTTTTTATTACATTAGACCATAGGGATTATCATTCTACATTTTTATCTTACTGTATATATAGGTATATTATATTGCATGCCTTATAGCCACAGTGTTTAGATATTTTTATAATTGTATTTACCCTATTCCATATTATATGTGTCATGGTCTGGCGGTGTTTGTGAATGGGAGATGGTGCGGCTCGGCTCATGTTCACGTGAAGAAGCAGATATGCAGCCCAGATGAGAAATTCCTCTGAGTCAGTTTAAGGCTTTATTATCTG